AGGGTTAAAAATTCACACACGCGAGAAGCTCGTTCGATGCGTACAAAAATCAACACATTCTGTTCTAGCGAAGAGAAAGAGAGAGAGAGAGAGAGAGAAAGAACAAAGGAAAAATATTCTCCCCTCATACAAGCAAGCTAAGAGAAAAAGTATTAAAAAAAAAAACTGAAAAAATAAAAATTCGAAAGACAAAAAAAGAAAAGAAAAAGGAAAAAAGAAATTTACTGGAAATTGCGATGACGCGCAGGAAACGCTGAAAGTCCAATCGGGAACACAATCGAATTTTCTTCTGAAAGATTCTCAACGAGAACATATTAAATATCGATATTTAAGCTGTTTAAGAAGAAGCGAGAGAAAGACGAGAGAGGGAAGACTGGAAGCGAGAAACAGAGGCAAAGAGAAAGAAACAGGGTGTGCTTTTCTTCAAGAGTTGCGCAGAGTTCAGGGATATTTATATAAAACAGGGCGCGAATTTTAAATTAATTAAAGAGTGAGTTGTTGCGTTGGCTTGCACGGTGTGTGCACGTGAACGTGTTGTTGAAATTCAAGTTTGCTTTTTGCCGATGTGCGATCGATCGTGTCGCCCCTCCTTGAAGAATGCAACTCCAATTACACGAATGGTTGGTAGGTCCAAAAATGAAAAAAAAAAAAAGTAATAAGAGAATAAGACGCAACCGAGTGAACTAAGCATCGAACGAAGAACGATCGTTTCACATGATCTCGATACTCTGTTAAAAAGTTCGTTCCGCTTGCGAACGATTTTTAGCAGAGTCTTCGTCGATGCGGACCATATCTCGATGTTATGTTTGCTTTAGGGATAATGCGAATTTCGTAATGAAATATTGTTGGATAAATTGCGATACAACGTGGTCTGTATATCTGTATACAGAGAGAAAGAGAGAGAGAGAGAGAGAGAGAGAGAGAAGTGGTGCTAGAATTGCCAATGGTCGATTTGACTCGATGATCGTGATTTTGTCTCCGATTACGCGCGTAATAAATCGCAACGAATGCGTCAAGAAAAAAACGTTTACGCGTGAACGTAATCGAAAATCGACGCGCTCTGTCGGCTTCCTGCTGCTGCTTTCTATGTTCAATTATCAGGCGATATTAATCATCTGAAACGGCGACAGAACCATATAGCAAAACAGAAAACGAAGCACAAGAGTTCGCTGTTCACCGTCGATCACGTAACGTTTTAGGATGTTTTAGAGTTAGAGAACGAGGTGTACTAGAGAGGCAGATAGATTCGCATGCGATTTGAATATTCATAAAAGCAGAGAGAAGCGCGGCTGAAAATATTCCTCGACCTGCTTTCGGCCAATTTGCAAATTTAAAACTAATCGACGATTTTCGCGACTTTCTTCTCTCTTTTTGGTTCATTTTTTTTTTTTTTTTTTTTT